TCCTTGCAGTCCAAGGACTCTCTCAAGAGTCTTCTCCAATACCACAGCTCAAAAGTATCAAGTCTTCGGTGCCCAGCTTTCTTTATAGTCCAACTGTCATGTCTATACATGACTACTGGAAAAACCATAGCCTTGACTAGATGGACGTTTGCTGNGTTTGAGTATTCTTTGGCATTGCCTTTCTTTGGGATTGGAATGAAAACAGACCTTTTCCAGTCCTGTGGCCACTGCTGAGTCTTCCAAATATGCTGGCAATATTGAGTGCAACACTTTCACAGCATCATCTTTTAGGATTTGAAATAACTCAACTGGCATTCCATCACCTCCACTAGCTTTGTTCTTAGTGATGCTTCCTGAGGCCCACTTGACTTCGCATTCCAGAATGTCTGGCTCTAGGTGAGTGATCACACCATCGTGATTATCTGGACTGTGAAGATCTTTTTAATATAGTTCTCCTATGTATTCTTGCCACCTCTTTTTAATAACTTCTGCTTCTGTTAGGTCCACACCATTTCTGTCCTTTATTTTATCCATCTTTGCGCAAAAATTTCCCTTGGTACCTCTCATTTTCTTGAAGAGATCTCTATAGTCTTTCCCATTCTATTGTTTTCCTCTATTTCTTTGCATTCATCACTGAGGAAGGCTTTCTTATCACTCTTGCTATTCTTTGGAACTTTGCATTCAAATGGATATATCTTCCCTTTTCTCCTTTGCCTTTCGCTTCTCTTCTTTTCATAGCTATTTGTAAGGCCTCCTCAGACAACCAGTTTTTGCCTGTTTCTATTTCTTTTTCTTGGGAATGGTCTTGATCACTGCCTCCTGTGGATTCTAAAAGTTTCGTTGAGTGTAGATCTCATGTTGTGTATTGCCTATCCCAATTTTTTTAAAAAAGTGAGTGTACCTCACGCTAGCAATCAAAGAAATGCAAATAAAAATTATCACCTGTCATATTAGTGAGGGTTTTAAAATGCTAGTGAGTTCCCTGAGGCAGGCTTTCTCATTTACTGCTGGCTGCAGTATAACTTGGCAGGCATAATCATTTTGAAAAACGGTTTGGAAATATGCATCAAAGGGTCTTAAAAATGTTCATGCCCTTTGATGTAATAATTTTACTTGTAGGAAACTGTTCTCTTGCAGTAATAACTAATATAAACATGTTTATTATTTAGAAGACCAAAAGTTAGAAATCTTCCCAATGTTTTGTAAGAGGGGGGAAGGTTAATAGACGTTGATACACATGACAAAACAACAAAAATGAAGTTTTAGTTGACAAGAAAGAAACTGCTCACAATGTAATAATAAGTGAAAACAAGGGGTTAAACTGTGTGAGAGGTGACTACACACGGTATTATCACACTACATAAAAACTTCAAAAAGGTGAAGGAAATGCATAAAAATGTTACCCAGTGTTGTTTCTGGGTAATTAGACTACGGATAGTTTAAATAAAATAAGATACAAAAAAGTCCCCTTTTTAATGCTTTCCGAACTTCTGACAAGGAACTCAAGTTAACTTTCCCAATCCGGAAAATATATATATATATATATATATATATATATGCATATATAAAATTTAAAAACAAAAATGTGATCTAAGTTTTCATGAAAAAATGATGTTTACCATAAGATATATTTTTGAATGTATCTTCTTACTCTTTAGTCTTTGCAAACATAAACATCTAAGGTAGAATGGAGAGTGACTAAAAATTAGAGTATTCTAGAAATACTGGGAGTCATTGGATTGATTTTATTTAAGGTATGGTTAAGGCAAACATAAACTTCTTCAGTAAACCTTTCATTCTAACTTAAAAGAGATAGGTATAACTGGGGCGGGGGACGTGTAAGAGGAAGCTTAACATTTTTTATTTTGAGGTTAACATATGGCCTTAGGTAGCCCAAGCAGCAGAATCAGTTCCCTGTGGGACACTGTGGGTGGGTCATTCTCTTCAGGAGAGTGGTTTAGGAGAGATACAAATGGAATGGCAAGCAGGGAGGGAAGGGGTGGGGGTCTGCCCTGGCAGCCAGGTCAGGCAAGCCCACCCTGGCTTTCAGTGGGTTGGCAGATGGCACAGCCAGATTGTCCCACCAGCCTAGAGCTACTAACTAAAACAATTACATTCTAGAAGAGATAAATTCATGCTACAATCAGATTCCTAATGTTAGCAGGGAATGGTGAGGGTAATGCTCTAATTGGTTTAAGTTGTGAACAGAAAACTCTAATCAGGACTAGAGAAAGGTGCAAACTGGCTTTTATAGGGACATAAGCCACAGACACTGAAAAAAATCAACTTTATGCCTCACCACTCTGTTCCCCTCGCAGCCTTGACATTTGATTCCACTTGAGAAGTGGGGTTTTTTTTTTTCCTATTTTTTTGTTTTGTTTTTTTAAACTTTTATGTATATATTTTCTTTAAACCAGACAAAAGCAAATTTGGGGAACTTGGGCCCAATCTAGAAAACAGACATGGTTTTGGTGGGTCTATGCTGTATTTAAAACCTAACAACAATATCGCTTCTCGGCCTTTTGGCTAAGATCAAGTGTAAAACCTAACAACAGAACTTATATGAGTTGCCTACAGTTAAAAGTTAGGAGATTTGGCATAAAACACAGGATTTGCACTTTTAAAAGAAAGTCAAATTTAGCAACTTTGACAAGTAAGCTGTTATTGTCACATGGCAACAAGTAACTGGAGAAGAGTGACCGATACCCCTCTGCGATGGCATTAATTTGCCACAGTCCTCACTCGGCCCTTTCGCTTATTTGGATTTCCATCCCTGGTCCCAGCATGCATTCCTGAAGTTTGCCGGTGTATGATTCCCCAAACTGGTTTGCCAGCCCCGAGTTGCCTAGAATAAAAAGCCTGTACTGCTACAAAAACTAGATCCAAAGCAACATTTCCTGTAAGTAACTCTGATAAAGATAGACCTGATGAAGAACTTTAAACAAGCTCAAAGAAATGCAGGGAGAGAAAAAAGAGGGAGATGGCCTTTTGGAAGTCAGATGCTCTATGGGAAACTCCATTCTCGCAGACAGCAAGAACGGAGGTCCTGCAAAGACTGGCACCCTATGGCAAACTCTCAGCCTAGTGTTTGAAGCTTAGTAGGAGGTTAATAAATGTTTGTTTCCATCTTCCTAAGAGCAGATGCAGAGCACAGCAAGGAGGAAATGGAGCCAGAACAGTGTAATGCAATGCACAAAAGCACAGCATGCCAAGAGAGAAGAGAGGGGGTAATTCTAGCCTAGAGAGCAGTAGCAGCAACAGAACAAGCCTGGAGAAGTTAGAATGACAAAGCCAGGTACTGTAATAACCAGGAACTTCATAACCGCAGCATGATTCTGATAGTTCTTTGCTAGTCACACACCTATATGGTAAGTAGGAGCATAGAGGAGATAGATGACTACATTAATTAGGCAGAGAAATTCAGACAGAAATTCATACCAAGACACTAGTGATGAGAAAGCATTCAACCCTTTAGTGAAGGATTGTTGGTTAAAACTCATAATAATACACACACATGTAACACATGTGTTACAGAGGATATGTAAAATATGGAGGATAGCTGTGTGCACTTGAAGTAAAGAATTTTTATACTTAGGTGAAGTTGTTTAAATTTTTTTGTGTGTTTTATTTACCAATGGTGTGGCTTTAGTTACTTTGAAACAATTTAATTCTAAAGCCCCAATTAAAAAAAAATTAGTTACTAACTGAAGTAAAATTTCCTGCAGATCATGTCACTGTAGCAATAACCTATCAGAGAATGTTAGACAAGGGGTACTGAACAGCGCAATGGAAGGTTATCGCAACTGTGATGAAATTTTTTTTCCCTAGTCCTTTACTTAGGGTCATAGCCAACCAGTCAGTGTTTACACATAGGGTTTGCAGTGTGTATTTAAATATTTAATAATCTTGAGAGGCAGTGACTGACAATAATATGCAGTGTCCAATATGAGTGCTTAATAAATGGTAAAACAAAATACTGCATGATGAGAAACAGAAGTCAGGAAATCTATTATACTCTATTTCAAAGCCTAGTAACTAGAAACGCAGAAAAAAGCAAACATAATGTGTTGGCTAAATTATGATAATACAGGAACCTTTATATTCACTAAAAAGTTTACTGAAATAATTTTCTTTTAAATTGCTTAGGGGATTGAGACAAGGTATGGGAAAGGGGAGAGAGTATGGGTTAAAACACACACACATAACTTTTTTTTTTGAACCACGTGGAAGTCTGCTGACGACAGACCGGGCTGCTACATCCTGCACAATGGAGGGGTGCTCCAAGTGCCTTCAAAACTCCCTCTAATCCAGTGCCAATTGGCAAAGGCCTCCAAATTTCTAGACTTCTTCAAGCTTTAAAGGACTGGGGTTTGGAAAAGGAGGCACCAGGTGCGCGTGTGGAACACCTCCGAATGTTTGCCGCGACACGGTGACACCGGGAAAGCAAATGCTCCCATATCCGGAGAGCAGGTTCTTTATTTACAGCTAGCTAACAGAGGAAACTAAGTTAGGCTTGGGGACCTAAACCGCCGTGCTTCCGGGGATCTCGCGCAGCCTTCGGCCGCGGGACAACTCGGCGACCAGGGCTGAGGTGCCCGCGCTGTTAAGTTTGGGGAAGGAAGCGAGAGGGAAAAAAAAAAATAGAGCTGCTCCTTTAAGAACTTCCTTTCCCTTTTACTCTATGTTTACATAACACGGGGGCGAGCCGCGGCTGGGCCCGAGCGGGGCGGGGAGCGGACCTAGGCAGCCCCCGCGCCGGGGGAGGGGGCGCCGGGTGATGTGACAGTGGTGGTTGAAGTAGAGGTTCCTCAGTCCCTGGGTGGTCTCCCAGATCTGCATCCACAGACTGTTGGACGGTCCGAGCTGCTCTGGCTGGAACCAGGCGATCCTCGGATCCATCAAACGGCGGCGGCCGCTGCCCCCGCCCCTCCCCGGCTCGCTCCCTCCTCTCCTCCCTCCCGCGGGGCTTCGGCGGCGGCGGCGGCGGCTGCGGCGGCGCTTGGCGCGGTGGGTCTCCCTGCTGCCCGGTCCCATTTGTTGCCGAGTCCAGCTCGGGGCAGCCGCGGCGCGCGGAGCTCCAGAGAGCCCGGCAGGGCAGCCACGCAGCCACGACGGAGCAGCCGCGGGACTGGCCGCCTCGCGCCCCCTTCGCCGCCGTGCCCTTCCCCGGCGCGCTCACTCCCTTCTCGGGATGGGATTGTAGCGGCGGCGCGGACTCGGCGGGGATCGCGGCGGAGGCGGCGGCGGCGGCGGCCGAGCAGGGCTCCATGTTTTCCCCCGGCCAGGAGGAGCACTGCGCCCCCAATAAGGAGCCCGTGAAATACGGGGAGCTGGTGGTACTGGGGTGAGTCCGGGGATCCCCGACCAGGGGAGCTTGGGGGCGGGCAGCACGCGCTCCGGGCTGGGTGGCCGCCGTGCACCCACATCCCGGAGCAGGGCCATCGGGGTGGTTTGGGGGTTCTCTGACCATCGGTAGGGCGCTTGGGCCGGTAGGAGCGTTTCGGAGGGCTGGGACGGCGGGAGTGGGGGTGGGATGCCCCCATCCGCGCGCGCGGGGCTGCGGCGGGCACAGGGATGCGCTATCCGCGCCGAGGACGGTGGCGAGGGAAGTGGCAGAGCGCGGTCAGCCCGGGGCGAAGGCAGCGGCGGGGACTGGGGCGACCTCGGAGCCCCGCGGGGCGTAGCGTTCGGGGACCAAGTCCTCGGCAGTACCGCGGGGGCAGAGGCTCGACTTCCTCGCTTGCCCCGGGCTGGGTATCGGGGATAGGGACCAGGGTTGAAGCACAGCCGTCGTGGGCACCTCTCGGTGACCGAGGACCACCCCGCCACCGTGGCGAAAGTGAGAGGCCCCCAGGGTCCCTCTGCTCCCGCTTACTGTGAGCCCCGGGCCCGGAACTCCAGGCGCGGCACCGGCGGCTCGGCGCTGCGGGCTGTGGGATCCGCGCGAGGGGCGTCCGCGGGCAGCGCCTTGCATATTGTTATGGTGACCGCCGCGGCAGCCGCAGCCCGAGGGCAGTGAACTGTCTGCGACCCGGGCGGCTGGGCCGGCCCTCGGCTCTCTCCGCCCGGAGTGTCGTGGAGCGGGCAGGAAAGCCGCTGCGCCCGCCGGGGCTCCGGGGCGCGCGGGGCTGCATCCTCTCTGGCCCTCGGTCCTGGGATTCGGCCTCGCAGATGTCCTCCCAACGGCGGGGAGCTCGCCAGCCTCTGCTCCCTCTCGGCTTGTGAAAACCACATTCTGAAGATAGTAATTATCTACAATCTTTAAACGGCAGCAATTAGAGACTTCATCTACTTCCTGAGTTTCCTTATGACATTTCTATTGTTTACCCTTAATAAGCTAGAGAGAGGCTTCGCCGGGATTAAAGCAGGATAAAGTGGGCAGTGAAAGGGGAGCGGATTGGGGTGGGGAAAGTGCGGTAAATTCGGGAGAAGGAGCAATTTGGGTTTAGCCTTGGAAAAGAAAAGAGAAAGGATTATTTTTTCCTTTGGATCTGTCACTCTCGGAAACCCGCGCTTTTGTCCTCTCTTGAAAGACTTGTGTTCTGAACATTACGAGTGCTGAAAGGTAGGCTTAGCACACATGTGAAGAGTCATGGGTATGGAAAAACTCAGGGCACTCTGAAAAATGTGTTTTGATAACTGAATACCTTGAAGTAAGTGCCGACTTGAAGATAATTTTAAAGCGACGAATTTTTAAGAGAAGCTTCCAGACACAGTCCAGCTCAAAGTTGTCCACTTTGGCGTACTTTGTAGCTACAGTGTTAGGTGGAGTATCATTGGAAAGCTCATTTACCTATTTGGAAGCTGTCTGCAGATAAGCATTTTTCTCACCTGCATCTAATTGCACTTAAAAGCCAAACATCAAGATTCAGTGAAAGGAGAGAGGACTGGCAGGCAAAAAGCTAGAGTTTAGCTTGTCTTATGTAACCTCAGCCCAGCCTAATTTTGTGCAGTTTGGTTTTGTTTGTGTGGCTGGCTTCAAAGTATGTTTAACATTGTGAACCTGACACGAAAGATTAACTTAGGCCAGGACTTTATTTCATTATTTCCTTTTGAGGAAATAGTCGTTGAGATGTTTCATGAAAGCAGGGTGTGAGTGGGTCTGGAGAGGGTTTGTGTTCATAGCTGGACGTGCAGGACATTCCAAAACCCCGAAAAGGATTTTTCCCCTGAATTGTCCTCCGATCAGGCTTCTACTAAAGCAGACTATGTAAATACTTTGCCGGCTGCATGTGGTCTGTTATTTACAAAGGTTTTTCCAGGAGACACTTAGTAGGATGGAATTAAGTGTTAGTTGCTCAGTCGTGCGGGACTCTTTGCAACCCCATGGACTGCAGCCCACCAGGCTCCTGTGTCCATGAGATTTTCCAGGCAAGGATACTGGAGTGGGTTGCCATTTCCTTCTCCAGGGGATCTTCCCACCCCAGGGATCAAACCTGGGTCTCCTGCACTGCAGGCAGATTCTTTACAGACTGAGCTACAAGGGAAGTCCATGACGGAGTTAGCACTGATATTAATATTTTAGGCCACTCAGCAGTTTGTGTGCACCTACTATGTGTCAGCACTGTTTAGGTGTGGAGGATCCAGAAGTGCACAGGGGGCTATATCACTGTAGTGTGGAGTGGCAGATATAAACAGAAGGAAACATGTAAACAAATGAATAATAAATGGCAGTTTCGGGCGCTGCCAAGTTCTCAACAAAAATGGGTTAGCTTAGGAGATGCCTGCAATAGGCAGGTCTTGCCTTCTTTAGCTGGGAATGCAGGGAAGGTTTCTCTGAGGAGGTGAAAGGTGAGTTGAGACCAGGATCTAAGAAGATGCTAAGTTTGGTTTTTCAATACTTGAGATCTCAATTGGGGCCATTTTCTATTTTTGAGAGTAGTTCTCTGACTCTGACAATATTGAACACACTGAAGAATGTGGGGAAATAGTGAAAAGGTAGGTAGACTCTAAGGCAACCCTTATTAATCATTATCCTACCCTTAGGACTTGAGGTAGCGCCCTCCGTCTTAAATCACCAGTGATGATCAAATAAAAATTATTATCAATGTTGCATGTCTGATCATCTATAACATAATGTCAGAGTTTCTAGTAGATTTTTTTATTGATGAAATTAATCTTGAAATCTAAAAATGCCCCATATTAGTATTCATAAAAAACTTTTTGCTTATACAGTGGATTTTTCATTTAAAAAAAATTGTTGTGTGATTGCCCTTTTTTTTCTTTTCTAAATTCTGTAGTAAAATGTTGCCAGGAAATCCTGGAGTGCAGATTGAGGAGCTATATACGTATATGTCTATATTCATACACAGATACTTCTGTGTCTTTTCATGCATTACACAATGTTAAGAGAATCCCAGTTAGGATTTTAGTAGGGTCATCATTTTTGTAGCAGCTTGGTAGAATTTAATTTTTTCATGATTCTAGCCAGTGAATGCATCAGAGCCACAACTTTTTGCTGTGTCCATTACGTAATGAAAGATAGAGAAATGACTATCTACCTGTCAGGTCTTTTTTGCTGTTCATTTTAAACCTGGCTAAAATGTTAAACTTGGGGAAGTGTGTGAGGATTTGAGAGGTAGTTCGATGTAGTTTGTTGGTAAGAGTATGAACCAGCATTCAGGAGACCTGGACTGAATTTCTCCTTTCTTGCCCACTGGCTGGGTGGTAGTGGCTTAGTCCTTCACTCTCTGGCTTCCCAGTTGGCCCAGTGGTAAAGAATCTGCCTGCCAATGCAGGAGATGCTACGGAGGCTGTTTCAGTCAGGAAGGTCCCCTGGAGTAGGAAACCCGCTCCAGTATTCTTGCCTGGAAAGTTACATGGATAGAGGAGCCTGGTGGGCTACAGTCCATGGGGTCACAAAGAATCGGACATGACTGAGTACATGCACCCAACCCTCACTTTCTTCCTGTTTCTTTAGCAATAATGAAATAAGATTGAATTGGGTAGTTGTCAAGAACCTTTCTGGTTTATATCCTGTAATGTTGGTCAGTGGCTCAAATGTGGAAAACATAGTTGACATAATCTCAGTAGTTTAGCATGCGTTGATTTTGTGTACTCCTAAGATAGTGGTGCTAGAATTTGAATGGGAACCGTGGTTTAATAGTGGAAAAGATCGATTCTGTGATTACTTTTTCGGAAGCTGGTATGTGCAAAATAGGCACTTTTAAAAGTTGTAATGGTATACATATATCTGACACATTGGTGTTAGATTGTACAAGAGGGTGTTCAGAATTTGATAAAACTTTCTGTTCCAGGTTTTAGGAGGGCAGTGATGTTTCAAAATTAAGCTCAGTAGGCTAAAATAACCAGCACAAGGAAGAGATAATCTGATGATGAAATTTTAGAACTGAAAGGGCCCTAAGAGGCCATGGTCCATGCTTCACTCTTTAATTTTACTGATGAGGAAAGTGAGACTCCCAGAAGGAAGGAGGTTTGTTCAAGTTCGTAGTTGAGCTGGATCACTGCACTGCTGGGTCACAGGTCCCCACTTCAGGGCAGATTCCAGCAGTGCTATCAGTTCCCCAAAGCTTCAGCTTTTGTGTAACTTGCATGAGGGAAGCGGAATCTCTTTCTGGATTCAATTTGAAGCATGCAGCTCTCTTGCTGACTAATGGCCCATCATGATTTTTGGAAACATGTTGCTTTACTCTTAGTTCCCCTCACCTCCCTGCTGAATGGGTAATGCCTTTTGCAAACCTTTCTTTTTCATTTGTGCTTCACAAAATGTATTTTTATTGGATCTCTCAACCAAAGGTTTTTAACCTAGAGTTCACAGATGGAATCCAGGGAGCCCTTGAACTGGGATGGCGGGAAAATATATCTTTCCTTTTACTGGATTCAAACTGAGATTTAATATTTTACTCCATTATGTGTATAGGCAACAAATAGACCTGCTGCTGGATTTGCTATTTAATGCATTCGTCCAGAAATACATACATTATTGTATCACAACTTATCTTTGATAACCAAGTATGATTGACTTCATTTTTAAGCCTTTTGTATTGTATTTTATACATGTAAAATCATTTTCCTGCAAAGAGCTCAGTATACTTTAAAGACTGCCAGAAGGATCCTTTGCACAAAAAACGATTAAGAATTTCTGCAGATTTGACTCAAAAATAACATGTTGTAGTTGAAACTGCTCAAGATCTACCAAAGGCTAAAGATCAGGGGGTACGTGTGGTTTTCCCTTTGGATTGTGCAGCATTTTATCAGGTAAGACAAAGAGGGCTGTTGCTGGGAGAATTTATGGTCTTTATTTTTTGAAACAAGCAGCTCCAATTTCTAGATGCCAGTTTTGTCTTAACCTTGGCACTGTGCCTTGGCCCCTCCCCTTCGTAG